ATGCATGATGCACATGGTTGTAAAACAGTGTCGTTTTGATTAAAAACGACTCCGTCCGACTTTTAAAAAAAAATCATTTTTGATTGCCGTTAACGGCGTTATGCTGTGCATAATTTGAAATATATATCCAGAATTAATGAACTATATATCCAGAACTAGTGAATTATATATCTACACCGGTTACTGGTACTCTGTTTTGACTTATGGCATTTCGATGCGTCTGTGTATTCAGAATGAGTAAACTATATATTCAGAATTAATGAACTATAAATTCAGAATTAGTGAACTATATATCCAAAATTAATGAACTATACATACAGAATTAATGAACTATATATCCAGAATTAGTGAACTATATATCCAGAATTAGTGAACTATATATCCAGAATTAGTGAACTATATATTCTGATTGGTGGAGTTTAAAAAACACAAAAACAAAAAATTAATTGGTGGAATTAAACGGTGCCAGCACCGTTACTCCACCATAGTAAAACGGCGTCGTTCACAACCGTGTGCACCATACATGGTGCACACAGTTACACAGCATAACGATTGAGCTTTTGGGGTCCCCATTCTCCCCTCCCAAAAAAAATATTGTACTCATAATGATTTAGAATATAATGCCTTACCTCTAAAAAAAAACCTTTTTTTTTTTTTTTTGAAGAAACCTCTACAAAAACTTACAAAAATGTCCACCCCACAATATTATTCATGATTGATAACACATATAATGTATACACTTATGCAAATAAATTTTATTTTATTTTTTGAAAATATGCATGAATGTTATAGTGCTTCATTTCTCTCCTATTTCACCTCCTAACATGGTAATATTTCATTAATTTATTTTATATTTAATTAATAAGTTTTGTTTTTAATGCTGGATGGAGTTGGACAATTCATGGTAGCTTTTATATATATATATATATATATATATATATATATATATATATATATATATATATATATATATATATATTGTTGCTAGATGGTCCCACCAATGTGGGTAGGGTGGTGACCAAAAGCTTAACAATTAAGCTTGGAAGATGAAGTGAAAGGTTTTTTGATTAATGGCTTCATTCATGTCCACTTAATGGGAGATTAAAGTGGGCAAATGAAAAGACAAAAGAGTTGGCTTTGTAAAGCCTATATAAAGGCCATGGATTTGGCTACCTTGGATATGAGAGAGTTCAAGAAGAAGAAAAAGAGAGGAGAGAAAATTTGTTGAGATATACAAGTGTGAGAAAATTAGCCGAGAAGAAGTTGGTGGATTTCGTAGAAATTCTTGTGCCTCGGGGTATGTTATTTTCTCTTGTATTTTGTGTTGCCTCTAATCGTTGAATTAGAGAAGCCTCCTCTGTTGTACCCATTATCTATATAGTGGAAGGTTTACTGGCTTGTGCCCGTGGTTTTTTACTCCTTGCCTTGAGGAGGTTTTTCCACGTTAAAATTCTTGGTGCCGTTTATTTATTTTCATTGTGCTAATTATATATTCTTGCGAGCTTTCTTCCCAACAACTGGTATCAGAGCCTTGTTCAAGTGCGAAGCTATGGAAGGAAAGTTCAATAGAATTACAAGTTTGAATGGCACAAATTATCACATATGGAGAAATAAGATAAAAGATCTACTATATGTGATGAAGTTGCATTTACACGTGTTTGCTACCCAGAAACCTGAAAATAAATCAGATGAAGAGTGGGCCTTTGAGCATGAACAGGTATTTGGTTTTATTCGGCAATTTGTTGAAGATAATGTGTATAATCATATTTGTAGTGAAACCCACGCAAGGACACTGTGGAGTAAACTTGAAGATTTATATGCTTCAAAGACTGGCAACAACAAACTGTTTTATCTCACAAAATTGGTGCAGTTGAGATATAACGAGGGTAGTTCTGTTGCGGATCACTTGAATGATTTTCAAGGGATTGTTGATCAATTGTTAGGTATGGGAGTAAATTTTGATGATGAGGTCCTTGCTCTTATGGTACTAGCATCATTGCCGGATTCTTGGGAAACTTTAAAAATTTCTTTGACTAATTCTGCTCCTAACGGTGTTGTAACGATGGAACTTGTTAAAAGTGGTGTCCTGAATGAAGAGATGAGACGAAGGTCACAAGGTACTTCCTCTCAACATTCAGAGGTCTTGGCTACAACAAATAGGGGGAGAAGTCAAAGCAAGGGTCCAAGGAGTAAAGATAAAAACAGAGATAACAGTAGAGGTAAATCTAATAAATTTGCTAATGTTGAATGTTATCATTGTCACAAAAAGGGGCATATTAAGAAATTTTGCCGACTACGGAAGAAAGAAAATCAGAAAAATAAAGACTCTGAAAAGAATAATGGTAGTGATGATGATAGTGTAGCTGCTACAGTTGAACATGATTTTCTTATCTTCTATGATGGTGACACAGATGCCATTAATTTGGCAAGTCATGATACAAACTGGGTAATTGATAGTGGTGCATCCATTCATGCTACAGCTCGAAAGGATTTTTTTGTTAGTTATGCAACAGGTGATTTTGGAGTTGTGAAAATGGGCAATGATGGCAATGCAAAGATTGTTGGTGTTGGCGATGTTCAGTTAGAAACCAACAATGGCACCAAGTTAGCATGTTCCAGATATCAGGTATAATTTAATTTCTGCTGGAAAATTAGATGATGAAGGGTATTGTAATACTTTCCAAAATGGCCAATGGAAACTCACAAGAGGTTCTCTAGTTGTGGCTCGAGGCACAAAGTGTTCTACACTTTATGTTTTACAGGCCAAGATCTCAGGAAATATTGTCAATACGGTTGAGAACGATGATACGAATGATATATGGCATAAGAGGCTTGCACATATATCTGAGGAGAGGATGTCCATGCTGGTCAGAAAAAAGAGCTTAGCTGGGTTGAACAATGTTCATTTGAAGAGGTGTGCTCATTGTCTAGCAGGGAAGCAGAACCGAGTATCCTTTAAAAGTTCTGCTAAGACTAAGAAGAAACCAGAGGTATTGGAACTGATACACTCTGATGTGTGTGGACCTTTCAAAACTAGGTCACTTGGTGGTGCTCGCTATTTTGTTACCTTCATTGATGACTACTCAAGGAAATTATGGGTTTTCTTTGAGGCATAAAAGTCAAGTTGTGGACATATTCAAGCAATTTCATGCCCTAGTTGAGAGACAGACTGGGAAGAAGCTAAAATGCATAAAGTCAGATAATGGAGGAGAGTATATTGGGCCACTCAATAGGTATTGCGTAGAGCAGGGTATTCGCCATAAGAAAACACCACCAAAGACTCATCAGTTAAATGGTGTTGCTGAGAGGATGAACAGGACTTTGATTGAGAGAGTTAGATGTTTTTTGGCACATGCAAAGTTACCAAAGACATTCTGGGCTGAGGCACTAAGTACTGTTGCGCATGTGTTGAATCTCTCACCATGTGCTCCTTTAAGGTTTGACATACCAAATCGGGTATGGACAGGAAATGATGTTTCCTATGATTATCTACGTGTCTTCAGGTGCAAAGCATTTGTGCACATTCCGAAAGATGAAAGATCGAAACTTGATGTTAAGACACGACAGTGTGTCTTTATTGGCTATTGTCTAGATGACTTTGGTTACAGATTTTATGATCCAGTTGAAAAGAAGCTTGTGAGAAGTCGAGATGCTGTGTTCGTGGATAATCAAACCATAGAGGATATTGACCGGGTTAAAGAATTGGGATCTCATAACGGTGATTCAGTTGATACTGAGATAGTACCTCCAACAGTGGTTCCTGAAGAGGTTGGAGAGGATGACCAAATTGAGCAGCAAGATGTTACTGATGCTTCCATTAATGATGATGAACTCCCAGTTCCAGAAGCTTCAACTCCACCTCAGCTTCGAAGAAGTTCAAGAGTTAGACAGCCTTCCACAAGGTACTCTTCTGATATTTATGAAATTAATTTTTTTGATAATGGTGAACCAGAATGTTATGCAGAAGCTGTGGAGGATGAACACAAGGAAAAGTGGATTGAAGCCATGAAAGATGAGATGAAATCCTTGTATGAGAATAATACATTTGAGTTAGTAAAGCTACCTAAAGGTAAGAGAGCTTTGACAAACAAGTGGGTGTACAGAGTGAAGCAGGAAGAACACTCCTCACGACCAAGGTACAAAGCTAGACTGGTTGTCAAGGGATTCAACCAGAGAAAAGGTATTGACTTTGATGAGATATTTTCTCCAGTTGTTAAAATGTCTTCCATCCGTGTTGTTCTTGGACTAGCAGCCAGCCTAGATTTAGAAATTGAGCAAATGGATGTAAAGACTGCTTTTCTTCATGGTGATTTGGATGAAGAAATATACATGGAGCAACCAGAAGGTTTTGAAGTCAAGGGAAAAGAGGACTATGTCTGTAAGCTAAAGAAGAGTCTATATGGCTTAAAACAGGCACCAAGGCAGTGGTACAAGAAGTTTGAGTCAGTTATGGCGAAGCAAGGTTACATGAAGACTACTTCTGACCATTGTGTGTTCTTTCAAAAACTCTCTGATGATGATTTTATTATTCTCCTGTTGTACGTTGATGATATGTTGATCTTCGGCAAGAGTGCTTCTAGAATTAAGCAACTAAAGGAACAGTTGAGCAAGTCTTTTGCTATGAAAGACTTGGGGCCAGCAAAACAGATTCTTGGGATAAGAATTACACGAGACAGGAATGCCAGAAAGTTGTGGTTGTCTCAGGAAAAGTACATTGAGAAAATACTTTGTAGGTTTAACATGGACAATGCTAAAGCGGTTAGTTCTCCTCTTGCTAATCACTTTAAATTAAGTAGTAAGCAAAGTCCTTCTACAGAGGAAGAAAAGGCAAGTATGCAACAAGTCCCTTACAATTCAGCAGTTGGTAGTTTAATGTATGCTATGGTATGTACAAGGCCAGATATTGCTCATGCAGTTGGCGTTGTCAGTAGGTTCCTTTCTAATCCTGGCAAGGAACATTGGATGGCTGTTAAATGGATTTTCAGATATCTTAGAGGTACTTCTAAATTATGCTTATGTTTTGGTTCTAGTAAGTCTATGTTGGTTGGATACACAGATGCAGACATGGCAGGTGACATTGACTCTAGAAAGTCGACTTCGGGATATCTAATAACATTTGCAGAGGGAGCAGTATCATGGCAGTCTAAGTTACAAAAGTGTGTTGCACTTTCTACCACAGAGGCTGAGTTTATTGCAGCAACTGAAGCTTGTAAATAGTTGCTATGGATGAAGAAATTTCTTCAAGAACTCGGGATCAAACAAGACAAATATGAGTTATTTTGTGATAGTCAGAGTGCTATACACCTTGGTAAGAATTCCTCTTTCCATTCAAGATCGAAACATATCGATGTAAGATATCACTGGATACGAGATGTTTTGGAGATGAACCAGTTACAACTTGTAAAGATCCATACAGATGAAAATGGGTCTGACATGTTAACAAAGTCATTACCAAGGGAAAAGCTTGAGATATGTCGTTCAGCTGCAGGGATGCAAGTCCCTCCCACATTGGCGTGAGGGGGAGTTTGTTGCTAGATGGTCCCACCAATGTGGGTAGGGTGGTGACCAAAAGCTTAACAATTAAGCTTGGAAGATGAAGTGAAAGGTTTTTTGATTAATGACTTCCTTCATGTCCACTTAATGGGAGATTAAAGTGGGCAAATGAAAAGACAAAAGAGTTGGCTTTGTAAAGCCTATATAAAGGCCATGGATTTGGCTACCTTGGATATGAGAGAGTTCAAGAAGAAGAAAAAGAGAGGAGAGAAAATTTGTTGAGATATACAAGTGTGAGAAAATTAGCCGAGAAGAAGTTGGTGGATTTCGTAGAAATTCTTGTGCCTCGGGGTATGTTATTTTCTCTTGTATTTTGTGTTGCCTCTAATCGTTGAATTAGAGAAGCCTCCTCTGTTGTACCCATTATCTATATAGTGGAAGGTTTACTGGCTTGTGCCCGTGGTTTTTTACTCCTTGCCTTGAGGAGGTTTTTCCACGTTAAAATTCTTGGTGCCGTTTATTTATTTTCATTGTGCTAATTATATATTCTTGCGAGCTTTCTTCCCAACATATATATATATATATATATATATATATATATATATATATATATATATATATATATATTATAGACATCAAAATGTGAATATTATGTGGCAAAATTAGAAGGAAAATTTAGTTTTATTCGTTTTGCATACATAAATTCATTATATATTCTATCATTTTCATTATAGACGCATACATAATTAACCTTTTATATTAACCTTACATTTCACTTTCAAATTTATAATTCAATGGTATTTATAATTATCAAAAGTTTTTTAATTATGTATTTAATTTAAATTATATCACTACTGGAAATTATGAAATTTTCGACCACCTGAAAGTGATCTTATATCAAGTCGAAAGCAAAAAGTGGTCGGAAATAGCAATAAAGGTTTTTCCGGATACCAAAAGTGGCCGGAACAAGGCTTTCAACTTGATTTAAGATCATTTTCAGGTGGTCGGAAATTTCATAATTTTCAGCAGTGTATTTTGAGGAAAAAAAAACTTTTTTAATTGTTATTGTATGTATTTTATTTTTTAAATTCTTAAATTTTGGGATATCATATAACTAATCAAAATATTGAATTATGATGGTATATAAGAGACCATTTTTTTTTTTAACATTCAATCCGCTAGAATAAAATAAAATAATATTTAATTTTTGTAAACTAATGAAGTTTTGACAATATGCTAATAGGAATGTTTCGAATGCTCTTAGAAATATTATTGCTTTAGTATATAAAACTATAATATAAAAAATGATTTGACTAATAATATGTAAACATATAAACGAAAATAATTGTTCTTTCAATTACCAACACACTATAGATAATTTTTTCTGTTTTACAAAAATAAGATTGTTACGTAGTCACCATATATTGTAAACTCTTTTAATTAAATGATGAAATTCCATATTTGTCATATTTATTAAATGATGAAATAACAAAATTTTAAAATGATAATTAAATGTGGCTAGGAAATCAAAGTCAAAGATGTATATAATCATGGACGGAGCCAAGGTGGGGCGCGGGGGGGCGGGGGGGGGGGGGTGGTCACCTCCGGCCTCCCCCACCTCTAACTCATATATAACCTTTGTATGGTATATATGTATATATAGTACAAGTTTTAGTATTAGTATAAATAAACAAATGAATTGAATGTTAATAAGAAGTGAGTTAGATTAGTTGGTAGAGCACATGTTTGGTTAAAATGAAGGTTCAAGTTTTGAATCCTTTATTGACAGTTTCACAGTTTCTCTTGGCTCCTTTAATAGCTTTTATAATATCACAGTTTCTCTTGGCTCCTTTAATAGCTTTTATAACACACGCACACACACAACCCCTCTTCCCCCCCCCCCCCCCCCTCCCCACACGCGCACACACACACACCTAAATTTCTTGCGTAATGTTTTTTTTTTTTTTTTTAAGTTATCTCTTTTGTTTTCATGTTTTGCCTTCACCTCTTTTTGTTTTCATGTTTTTCCTTCATTCGAAAAAAATTATGGACCTATCCCTGCTTCTTCGCCCCCGCTCAACAGAATTTCCGGCCCGGTCCATGTGTATATGTGACAAAACTAAAAGAGTATAACTATATGTGACAATATCACAATAGTGCAGGACTAAAAGTGAAAGTTGCTCAATTAAAAACAATATAAAATGCTATCCGAGACAAATAAAACTACGTTTCTTTTTGTCTTAATGATGGTTACCTATTTAATGAGCAGCTAGGGAATATATATCCACGGAAGAAAATATTCATTTTATTTATTTTTTTTAGAAAAATAATTGTTGATACAAAAGCTAAGTAGTCAAGTTAAATACGCATGCATTCACCTCACGAAATGATATTAAGATTTGGCAGTGATAGATTAAGGAGCTGGCGATATGATCCAAGGGTGTGTTTGGTTCGCACATAGGAATCGGAATCAGAATGGGTATCAAATACTTGGTAATGGTAATGGGATTTGGTGAAAGTATTTAACATGTTTGGTAGTAGGGTGGAATGAGAATGGTTACTAATAGTAGTGCTTGAAAATGAATAAGGGAATGAAACCCTTATTGTATTTGGGTATGTGTTTTTCAATTGATGGGGTATTCGAAACTCATAGTAGCGTTCTAAAAACCTATCAACCAAACAACAACAATCACTTTCATACCCATTCCTATGTGCAAAACCCACCAACCAAACACACCCCAAGTTTAATTATCTTTATTATTTAGGCTTATCTACTTATCTCTATCGCTTGTAGAATTCCCCAAATTGAAAAGATAATATAATAGTTGATAATGGTGGTTTCAAATTGCGAGAGCGATTTAGAGGTGGTCTTTAAGAAGATAACCATAGATGAGAGTACGTTACATAAGCTCATCACACTAAACATCAGTAGTTGCATGGCTTGGATGGCAACAAATTTTGATGGATTGCACAAGGAAACGAGAATAAATAGGGACATATTCAAATAAGAATAATATCTTCCTGAAAAAAGTAAGGACAGATCACAGTTACTCATTAGGTTCATCGTTGATGATTTTAGTTTAAAATAAATATGGATCAATTTTACAAATATTGTAAAGTTTTAAAGTTTATAATATGAGTTAATTCCATTATAATTTATATGTTGCAGTTCACTTTTAGTCATTTTTTATCAAAATATCCTCATTTGGTCCTAATATTATTGTGACATAATCATTTTTTGTCTCCCATCAACAAAATCGTTGAAATACCGTTAAATACAAAGACATTTTGATCTTTTTTTTATACAAAGTAAGTTAACTCGCTATATTTTTTTGTTTATGTTTATGTTTTAAAAAAAAAAATTCATGATTGAAAATCGAAATGCCATTGTATTTAATGACATTTAAATTATTTTGTTGATAGGTGGCTAAAAATGGTATGCCACAATAATACTAGGACCAAAAGTGGATGTTTTAAAAAAAAAAAAAATTAAATGTGTAATGTCACCTATAAATCTAATACCAAAAATAGAATTAACTCTTTATAATATTTAGGGAAAATGGTCAAATAGGCCCTCAAACTTTTGTTAATGAGTCAATTAGCCCCTTCAACTTTTTAAAGGTGCAATTACACCCATAAACAATCAATTTTGATGCAATGAAGCCCAATATACAGGTAAATGACCTGCTATCAAAAGTCATTCAAGATCCGGCGTATTTCTGACGTATTTTCCAGTAAAAATAACCGACGACCGATCGTTGGTCACTCTCCGACAATCGCCTTCTCTACCGGAAAAGGCAACCCAGATCTGGGTTGCCTTCTCAATTGGAAAAGGCAACCCAGATCTGGTTGCCTTCTCCAGTTGAGAAGGCCACCATTGTGGTGGCTTTCTCAACCGGAGAAGGCGATCGCCGGAGAGTGACCGGCGACCGAACGCCGGTCATTTTTGTCGGAAAATATGTCGGAAATACATCAGAAATATGCCGGATCTTGAATGACCTTTGATATCAGGTCATTTACCTGTCTTTGAGTTTCATTGCATCAAAAAGTTGGAGGGGCTAATTGACTCTTTAACAAAAGTTTGAGGGCATATTTGACCATTTTTCCTAATATTTATAAAACTGACTCCACTTTTTTTTTAGCAATCCTCAATTGTTGATCTATCCAAATAGTTTAATCATATCAGTCCATAAACATGTCCTCATCACCGGAAGTCCTGAACCCTCATATATATAGTAAAATGTGAGGACTGATCTCAACTATTCATTAGGGTTCATCAATGATTAAGGGTTTTTGAAAACAAAAATAGTCAATTTTATAATTATTAAAAAATTTAAGAGCAAGATTCATTTTATAATTATTGCAAACTTGAAAGTTGTCTTAATTTTTAACTTTTCAAAATGAAGGGTGTGAGTATGTCCACATTTTTATCAAAGAGATGTTACCCTCCCCTATATTGCATGCCTATCTAAAACAGAACTAATGTGTTTTTTATCTGATGAGTGTATGAGGATAAAATGAAAATCGTTATCAAGAGGTAGCAGGGTTTTAATATTTGAGACAACAAATTTTAATTAAAGAATTAAAGTTACGCAACAGCATAAAAGTACAAAATTAAACATCTATTCGCTAATTAACGTTATTCCATGCCCGCCAAAACATACATGTATGAACTACCAACTAGGGATTACTACATTATATCCTGAATTTTGTTTTAGAATCGATCTTTTTTTCTTCTTTTTTTTTTTTCTTCTTTTTGCGTTTGTGAAATATGGTCTGAGGCAAATTATTTTGTGGATTCGAGTCTACCTTATAAGATGGATCTAGGTTCAAAGATACACAATTTAACTACTAAATGTTAACTTCACAATTTATCTTTTAAAAATTCACAATTTATGATGATCCTTATTGTATTCACAAATTCTCAAAACTTAAAAACACAATTTATATTATAAATGTTCACAATTCCAATACTAAAAATACACAATTTAGAACTAGGGTCCACCTTATAAGGTGGACCCTGATATTACAACTGATGATTTGACTATTGGATGTGATTTATTTATATATGTGAATTTGGGATAAGAATTATGGATTTTTTTTTTGCAACTTCAGGTAGGCTAGGATTATTTTGAAAAATTTTATGGGCATTGTTGGGATAATTATGCCCACTTCAATCTACGAACTCACTTTAAATAAGAGTTATTACCATATGAGGTCCTCCGAGTATAATGATTTTATCACGTTTAGTCAAAAAATTTCAAATTGATCATTTGTGGTCCTTCGACTTTTAAATTTAACCATTCGTGATTCAAGTCAATCATCCATGGTCCTCCAACTTTTGAAATTTAACCAACCATGATCCTTTCAAGAGGACCACGGGTGGTTAAATTTTGAAAGTTGAAGGACCATGAATGGTTAACTTGAACCACGACTGGTTAAATTTGAAAGTCAAAAGATCACAAATGATCAATTTAAAAATTTAGGACTAAACGTAGCAAAATCATTATATTCAGTGGATCTCATGTGAAATTAAGTCACTTTAAATAATTATCCATCTACTATGGTTCGCCTTAAGTCCTTAAAGTCCACTTCTCTTGTAGTCTTGTGTATGCTTCATACAGAATTAACGACGATCGAGCCACTATGTGTGAGCACTGCGCAACTTGTTGCCGCTACTACAGTACAAGATACGTGAGAAGTTGTTGGGTGGAGGACTATAGGGACAAGTTCAGGCATATATTAAAATGTAATAATAGTTACTATGAAAGTATATAAAAATGAAGTTGGTTCTAGCTTCATTAGTTACTTTAACTCTTAGGGTGTGTTTGGTTCGCACATAGGAATCGGAATCGAAATGGATATCAAATACTTGGTAATAATGGTAATGGGTTTTGGTGAAAGTATTTAACATGTTTGGTAGTATGGTGGAATGAGAATGGTTACTAATAGTAGTGCTTGAAAATGAATAAGGGAATGAAACCCTTATTCTATTTGGGTATGGGTTTTTCAATTGATGAGGTATTCGAAACCCATAGTGGTGTTCTAAAAACCTATCAACCAAACAACAACAATCACTTTCATACCCATTCCTATGGGCAAAACCCACCAACCAAACACACCCTAATTAGTGTAGTGGTAAACACTATTTGACCCGTCATGTTATACAATTAAGGCGAACAACTATTGGGGAAGAATTGTTGAACGGAGGTTTGAAAGGTTGAATCTAATATTTTGTCATCAAAATGTGGCGATGATTGTTACGTAAGTATAAAGAAATAAACATAATAAACCAAGGATCGAGTCTCACCATCAGCAGTGCGGGAGGGGCTCCTTGTGCATATGAGCAAAAGTCAATCATCTGTTGTTCAGTTGAGTCACCATGATTTATCCCTCCACAAACTGTCAAGCTGCGGTGTGGAGGCACCTGGGACAATGGGCAATTCCACCTTTTGTCACAAGTATATAAAAAAATAAAGTTACGACTTTGTTATTAAATAAAAGAGAAAATTTCAATTTTGGTCACATGACTATAGGGGCATTGTTAATTTCAACACCTGACTTTTAAAAATGTCAATTTAGTCCATTGACTATGTAATTTTTGTCAATTTTGGTCACTCCGGCCAAATTGACGGTCAAATTTGGCCGGAAAAGTTTAATCCAACATTTAGTCTAGAAAGGATCAAAAGACGATTTTGCCCCTCAGATTATAGACTAAATGTTTGATTAAATTTTTCCGGCCAAATTTGACCGTCAATTCGGCCGGAGTGACCAAAATTGACAAAAATTACATAGTCAAGGTACTAAATTGACACTTTTAAAAGTCAGGTGCTAAAATTAACAATGCCCCTATAGTCATGTGACCAAAATTGAAATTTTTTCTTAAATAAAACTTTTGAAATAATGGTAAGTATTTGATCCTAACAAATACTGTTTCAATATTATCAAGTTTAATCGCGCTCTCTAGGCAATTCAGATCATCTATATACATATAAAAGTCACTAAATTTCAGCCAATAAGAAAGCTCCATTTTCCCGCCCAAATTATTCTGCCTTTTTTTAATTCTAAATTCTAAATTTCTTCTTCAAAATATATTTCTTAGTCTGACAAATTTAATTACTGCTGCATTGACTTACAGCTGTTGTCCATTTTCCAATAAATAGTTGAGAGGTACGACAGATACATTAATTTCCAAACTTACAGCAGAAGCAAAGCATGGTGTTCAACAAGTACATAATTTTGAAACTAAATTTTGGTGAAAAATTATCTATAAATAGTACATATTGTATACATGGTGCAACCCACATTCACATTGAGCAGCTCTATCTCATGAAGCTTCAAGAAACAAAGGTGATATTTTCCTGTCTATCATTTTTAAACCCTTCTCTATCTAATGAAGAGTTGAATTAATTGTATAGGCTTTAATGTATGAACTTCCTCCATTTTTAATATTATGGAGTGAGATTTTGATAAATGTTTGTGTTTCTCATTTGTTCCTTTTGCAAACTATTAGAACCCCTTTTTCAAGGGGTTTCAACAGCATACCAAGCAACCTCCTTCTCAATGCCAACTATAAGAAAATCCTTTTTTAGGAGTTTGAACAGCATACCAAGTAACCTATTTCTCAATGCCATTGAGACCTGAAAATATCAAGAGTAAAGTATGATCATAAAAGTAGAAAAATTCAAATCCAAGTGAGTTTTTAAGTTTAATTAAGATATCAACTATTGATAAAATAAATATAAATATGTATAGTAAAACTTTAACTTTAACTTTTAGAGTAGTAGAGTACTGAACATTCAAATGGATCTAATATATTTTTTAGCATGCCAATCTGTCATTATCCTTATTTGCTAATGTATAGAAGCATGATTTAGTTTTATAAATAAACCAAAAATGTATATTTTCAAATGGTTTAACTTCACACGTAAAGGAGAAAAAACTCACCAGACCACCAAGGCTATTTTCTTAGTCTACTGGCTGATTCACCCTCACTAGACCACCAAGGCTATTTGCTTAGTTCGAACCTATTTGGCCACTGAAAGCAGAACAAGAAAATCACTATTAACAGTCAAGAATGTTTGTTTCATGATGAAGAGGTAAGTCATGCAACAATGAAAAATGTTTTGCTTATTTGTTAGTAGTCAGTAGACTACCACTTAAATACCAAATTCAGTTTTTTATGCATTCAATGCAATGTATTTATTTTGACAAATTTACATTGTAGTAAAGAAATTGTATTTATACAATATAAAATTTGATACAACATAAAACAAACAAAAAAAAATTAAATTGCCATGTAGTAATCATTGCATCGATAATCAGAATAAAGTAATCTAGAGGCTTATATATATATATATATATATAGATCGAAGTCATTTAACAGAGGAACAAGTTCAATGTATATTCATACTAAAGGATGAACTTTTTGAAGATAATACTTAACAGAGTAAAGAACAATGAGAAAGTTGAAGGGGTCGGAGGCAAAAGAAAATAAACTGTTGAAGATAGAGGTACCATTCAATACCTGTTGTTCATGCTTTAAACTTCTTATAATGCAGGTCTTTTTCCATAATTTTGTGCTTTTCTTTCAATATGTGCCAATCATATTCAGAAAAAAAAATGTTAAGCCTTCAAAGTTAATGGGATTAAAAATTTCAAGTGGTATATAAACATTAATCAGTATATATACTTTGGAGGATAAATAGTATGGAAATATTAAAGCATGTTTTTTTTTTCTAATTCTATGATTTTCACAATTAATCTCATTAGTGTTTTAGCTAGACTCCTATAATTTTGGGCTAATAGGGTACTTATCTTTATCAGATCGTTCATATCCCTTTGAAATTGGTTTGTACTCTTCAAAATCTCTATGCATGCACACCTGGATTTTCTCTCTATATTTTTCTACAGTTATATTCCTCTCTTGATATTTAGTTATAGTTGGATCTGATATATAAACAAGTTAGTTAGGGTTTCTAGCTAATGAGGTAAAAGTGTAATTATATTTGGTAGAGTGTAAATTACCTAATACTGTAGAATCTATCATCCGTAGCCATAGAAGATGATATCTGTTAATCGAACAGTTTACTGCTAGAACGATATGGATATGTTCTGTGATGGCTTTGCGATGTTGAAATCAGGGAATTTCAAACATATTCTAAGTAGTTTTGGTGTTATGGAGCATGGATTGGGATTGAGATCTTGGCTTCCATGTCTGTAGAGGGAGATAGGGTTTTGGGCACCAGAGCGATCGACGGAAAAATGGGAGAAGGGAGTCGGATTGAATCTGGTGGTTTTGGTTTTTATATGGCGGGTGTTTGGGCTTCGGTTTTTGGCCACTTTGTAGGTTGTGTATATACAAATGAAACCCAATCTATTTACACGGAGAAAACTGAAGATTACATAAAAGAAAAATGAAAATTACGGTACCTTTGTAGTACGTATTCGTCTCACCAATTCCGTCATTGCGGTGTATGGATCGTCGATTTGAGTTTTCGGACAACCTTCGAAGGTTAGATTATTAGGAAGACGAGTATGAAAGGAGCTCCTTCATGTTTATTTTGGCGGCGATTTGGAGGGAGATGGCCGGATAATCGAAGCTTTGTTCATTGTGTTGGTCGGAGATGTAAGCGTCGCTTCCAGAAAGAAGAGAGAGAGAGAGAGAGAAGAGTGGTTTGGATGACTAGATGTCGGAAGTTGGATTTTGGTATGAGTTTTTATACGTAGGCCAAGATAATAAGATGGGTTGGGCTAAGCATTGTAAATGGAATTTGAGGCCTTTTGTGGATTTAACTTAACAGATTGAATGTCTATTGGGTTATCATTTTAATATATATATATATATATATATATATATATATATATATATATATAATACACACACACATTTATTTATTTATTTATTGTATGAATTTAATTTTTGTATGATATAAAAAATCCAATTTCTAATTTATTTCAATAAATTACATATACATGTATCATGTTGGAAAAATGTTTTTGTTTGGGTTTAACAAATGTAATAAACTTGATATTATTAATTTAAACTTAGGTATTTATATGTAGTCTTAACAAAATATAAAAAAAAAAAAGGGTTATTTTATATATGTATTTTTGGACTATTTTCACCTCTATGCTATTGTTGAGTGGTTTTCTTTGAAGTTTTTTTCAGTGTAGCAAACGAAGTTCGCAGTCTAAAATGGTGGGAGGGGGAAAGATTATTTTGGAAGGCGAGAGAAAGAAGAGAAATGAAATAAGTAAAATGGTTTGGGTTGAAACACGTTGGGGATTATTTATACTTTGGCTATAGATGGGTATTGGACTACTTACAAAGATTGCGTTGAAACAAGTATATTATTATTATTATTACTAGTATTTGCACCCGTGCGATGCACAGAATGGATTTGTTGTAATATATTAAAAATATATAAATCGATATATAATTATTTAAATTAGAACATCAAATATTATATAGTGCAATTAAAGATATGATTTGAATCGTTTATATATATATATATATATATATATATATATATATATATATATATATATATATATATATATATATATATATATATATATATATATATATATATTTTTTTTTTTTTTTTTTTTTTTTTTTGATGTTATCATTGCTTGAATTTGTGCAAATAATTACTCAAATTAATAACTAATGTCTAGATGTACGCATGCAGTCCTATAATTTTGAAAATTTTATTTATCATTGTTTAGTATTTTCATAATTAGACAAATGTGCTCGCCATTTTTTAATTAAAATGCAATTTTCTGACATTTTTTAGTCAATTATAGATCATTTTTTATTTGCAGTCAATTATTAATATTCATTTCCTTTTATATTTTCAGTCAATTAGTAATATTATATTCATTTTCAGTCAATTATTCTTTTTTTATTTCCAATCAATTAGTCAATTAGAATATATATGCAGTGATATTTTTACCTAATTTTCGTTCCATTTTAATTTGATGATGTAGAATATTATTAATGAAATATTTTCGTTTCATTTTTAATTTATCTTTACTATTTTTTAAAAATATTCTTTTTTATTTCCCATCAATTAGTCAATTAGAATATATATGCACTGATATTTTTACCTAATTTTCGTTCCATTTTAATTTGATGATGTAGAATATTATTAATGAAATATTTTCGTTTCATTTTTAATTTATCTTTACTATTTTTTAAAATATGTCTTTACTATTTGATGATGTAAAATATTATTATTGAAATATTTTCTTTCCATTTTTAATTTTCCGGATAAACACAGGGTTTTCACTGTCGGACACGGTGACTAATCCCCTCGCTAAATTGACTTTTAAAGATTTAAGGCTGCTCGAATATTATTAATGAAATATTTTCGTTTCATTTTTAATTTATCTTTACTATTTTTTAAAATATGTCTTTACTATTTGATGATGTAAAATATTATTATTGAAATATTTTCTTTCCATTTTTAATTTTCCGCGTAAACAAAGGGTTTTCACTGTCGGACACGGTGACTACTCCCCTCGCTAAATTGACTTAAAGATTTAAGGCTGCTCCATTCCCAAATCCAAGGATCGAACCCTTGACCTTTGGTTAAGGATAAATGAGTCCCTTATACTCAACCACACCCTCCAAGTTACTTGCCTACATTGATGGGAAAGCAATTATGTTTGTAAGAGGAGCATTGCTCCTGTTTTCAAACATTTTCAATGTGAGATCAAAATGATCCCACATCATTTACAAAGGGAGCCCGTGACTCCATTTTGTCTTCTTCTTATTTTTTTTTAAATTATAAATTTATTTTGTATATCATTTTGTTTGGATTATTATTATTATTATTATTATTATTATTATTATTATTATTATTATTATTATTATTATTATTATTATTATTATTATTATTATTATTATTATTATTATTTGATTATTGACAAATTCGCCATTTTAACAATATATCTTTAGTCAAAACACCAAAAATATTATTTAATAACTAAGTAATTTGCTCCAAACTACTAAAAACTAAAACAACACATACATTTTGGGTTAATCTTTCCTAACCCCACTAATAAATAATAAATAATAAATAAATAAAACTAAAATAATAAGACAAAGCTAAGGTTTCTTAAATAAGAACCTTTTGACTTCTCAATACTCGCGCACATTGATGTGCAAGTAATTATGTTTGTAAGAGGAGCACTCTTTTCAAACATTTTCAATGTGTGATAAAAATGATCCCATATCATTTACAAAAAGAGTCTGTGACTCCTCTTTGTTTTTTTTTTTTTTTTTTTTTTTTTTTTTTTAAATTAATTTTATTTTGAATATAATTTTGTTTGGATTATTATTATTATTATTATTATTATTATTATTATTATTATTATTATTGTTGTTGTTGTTGTTGTTGTTGTTGTTGTTATTGTTGTTGTTGTTGTTGTTATTTGATTATTTGGAGAATTCTCCAAAATTTTAAAAAATTCATCTTTTAACATTTTATATTTAATCAAAACATCAAAAATATTATTTAATAATTTAGCAATTTGCTCCAAACTGCTAAAAACTAAAACAACACATATACATTTTGGGTTAATCTTAGCCAAACCCCCTAATAATTTTTTTTTAAAAAAAAAAACTAAAATAAGAAGCCATTAAAATAAGGTTTCTTAAATAAGAGCCTTTTGAAACATTGAGCTTCAATAGGTTGAGAAAGTTTCTATGAACAGATACTACATGTAACACGGTGAATCGAATAGTTATGCTGTGGAACCGTGTCCACTTTGCAAGGTAGACACAGTTCTATGTTCATAATTACTGTACTACATGTTCATAATTATAAAGCTAAATATTCATAATCTTTGAACTTCATATTCATAATTATTGAACTCTATATTCACAACTACAAAACTCTATGTTCATAATTACTAAACTATATGTTCATAATTATAAAGCTATATATTCATAATTTTTAAACTTCATATTCACAATTATTGAATCTCTATATTCATAATTACATAATTATATGTTCATAATTATGTTCACAACACTATGTTCATAATTTTAGAACTATATATTCATAATTTTTGAACTATATATTCATAATTATGAGCAATTTTAGAATCGTGTCTACCTTGCTAGGTGGACACGATTCCACAGCATAATTTGACGTATCAATAGTACTCAAAAAAAATAAAATATTTGTCTTTGGACTTCTCAATACTTGTCCACATTGATGGACAAACAATTATATTTGTAAGAAGAGAATTGCTCATCTTATACAGAGGAACTCAAAAGCTCATTTTCCAAACATTTTCAATGTAGGAGAGCCCATGGCTCCTTTTTATCTTCTTATTATTTTTCTTTTAATTTTAATTTTATTTTGTATATCGTTTTGTTTGGATTATTATTATTATTATTATTATTATTATTATTATTATTATTATTATTATTATTATTATTATTGTTGTTGTTGTTGTTGTTGTTGTTGTTGTTGTTGTTGTAATAAATGTTTGTATATCATTTTGTTTGGATATATATTCATAATTTTTTAATTTCATATTCACAATTATTGAATCTCTATATTCATAATTACATAACTATATGTTTATAATTATGTTCACAACACTATGTTTATAATTATAGAACTATATATTTATAATTATGAACAATTTTTGAACGGTGTCTACTTTGCAAGGTGGACACGGTGCCACAACATAATTTGTCGGGTCAATAGTACTAAAAAAAAAAATAATAAAATAAAATAAAATAAAATAAAATAAAATCTTTGGACTTCTCAATACTTGCCCACATTGATGGGCAAGCAATTATACATTTGTAAGGTGAGCAATGATCCTCTTATATAGAGGAGCTCAAGAGCTCCTCTTTCCAAATATTTTTAATGTGGGATCAAAATGATCCCACATCATTTACAAAGGGGAGCCACCTTTGTCTTCTTTTTTTTTTTTTTTTTTTTTTTTTTTTTTTTTAATTTTAATTTTAATTTTTACATAGTTTTGTTTGAATTATTATTGTTGTTGTTATTATTATTATTTACGAATTAATAGATTTTATTTAATTTCCATTTGAGATTTACTTACCAAATAAGCTTTACTACAAAAGTTTGGACGGGAAAATGAATTAGGATGATTTTGTTTTTAATTATATATATATATATATATATATAGATTGATTCTATTTCATTTTTTAAGCAAAATCTTCCGTAAAGATTAATAGTAAAATAAAGCTAACTTATTAATAACCGATTCTATTACATTTTTTTACGCAGCATTTTTCTTAAAGATTAATAGTAAAGTAAGGCTAAATTATTAATAACCAATTGTATTCTATTTTTAATGCAAAATCTTTCCTAAAAGATTAATAGTAAAAATCTTAATGATTCTTTTTCTTATACTGCTTATTGATTCTTTTCCATTTGTCAGAGTGTAGAAAAGTTTCACATGGCTAACATTTCCTTCCATTCATTTCCATTTTTTCATATTATTATTAATTTCCTTCCCAATATTATTCTATATTGTTTTGGCGTACGACTTCCTTCCATTCATTTTTATTTTTTCATATTATTATTAATTGTTTAGGCGGGAACTTGTAAAGGAAGATATTGTTTTTATTAATTAATATAGAATATAGATACAGATTACCAATTAAAATTAAAG